TTATGAGAGAGATATAATCGATGGAACATATATATACAAATCTGTCAGAATCGGACAGATTGCATGTTCATCTTATTTTGAGTAATTAAAACCTCAAATCACCACAATATTGARTGAAATMRGTGGAATKTKAAAGGTAACTCATTAAACTAACATCCAGAAGAAAAATCAACAACTTTGGATGATTATCTAGAGGGTTATGACTATTCAAAGTAGGGTTTACCTACTGAAAAACTCTCAGTTACATATATACAATGTTTTGAGTATTTGGGGGGTCAAAACTCAATGTTTTTGAGTCAAACCAAATGCATTGCCATCCCAACTCAGTAAATAAACTTTTAAAGTGGGTTTTTCTCCCAAAAACTAACAAGAAAAGATGAAAGGATGAATGCATTACCTTGTTATTGAATGAGAGGATTGTAGTATCTTCAAAAGCTTGCTAAAATGGTGAAGATGGATGGTGGATTCTGCTGAAATGGATGAATGGGAAGGAGGGTTCTCAAGGTGACCCTTGAGTTTTCTTGGGAGAGAGATGAGAGAGTTTTTGAATTTTGAATGAAGGAATTATGAGGATTAAAGGAAATTGATGCTATTTATATGAGGAAGGAGGGAGGGAAATGAGAGGGGAGGGGCCAGGCATAGGGAGCCCAAGCCCACCCTCATAAATATTTTTTTTTATAAAACTAAGCCCAAAATGCACAAAAGTCCAATTTCTCAATTTTGACATTTTTCTTCACTTTAAAAGCCCATGATGACTAAATTTATTTAAATAGAAAGGTTTTATATTTTAAACACTAAAACTTAGTGTTTTATATATAATGGGTATAAATTAGAGCATTTGGTACTGTATAGGACGTTTCAGATAATTTCGGGTCGAAACCGGACTTTATAAGCAACTGCTGAAAATTCTTAAAAATTTTCAACTAAACTAACCTAACTAACTCCTAATCTTATAAATTCCGTTCAATAATACTAATATAACCCTAATAAAAGCTAACCTGGGATTTCGAATTTGACTGCTGTCACAGTCTCCTCTTGTTAGAGAAATTTCGTCCCGAAATTTACTTGCTCATAACAACTCATAATTTGTTAAGGAAGAGATGTGGGTACTTGCTTCTCAGGGAATCTTCTCTTTCCCATGTATATTTCGGTCCATGCCGTGATGCCCAATGAACTTTTACAATCAGGATTCGTTTGCGCCTCAACTGCTTAACCTTACGATCGAGAATTTCGATCGACTCCTCTATAAAATATAATCCTTCATTAACTTGAATATCTTCCAGAGGTAGAACTAAAGACTCGTCGGCTAAGCACTTCTTAAGATTCGACACATGAAACGTGTCACGGATGGCACTAAGCTTCGGGGGTAAACTAGGCTTCTATGCAACTGGTCCTATTCTTTCGAGTATTTCGAATGGACCGATATACCTTAGGCTAAGCTTTCCTTTCTTTCCAAAGCGTACAACTCCTTTCCATGGTGATACTTTTAGAAGAACTTTATCTCCCACTTGAAATTCCAAGGGTTTCCTTCGATTATCGGCATAGCTCTTCTGGCGATTCCTTGCAGCTTTAAGTTTTTCTTGGATGATTGCGATTTTGTCGGTTGTCTCCTGGATAATATCAGGCCTGATCAGTTGCCTATCACATATTTCCTGTCAACTGAGTGGGGATCTACATTTTCGGCCATACAAGACATCGATAGGTGCACATTGGATACTGGTGTGATAGCTATTATCGTAAGAAAATTTGACCAATGGCAGATGGGTATCCCAACTACCTCCGAAGTCTATCACACAGTCTCGCAACATATCCTCTAATGTTTGAATCGATTGCCATAACCTGGAAGTAAAGCGGCTGTCTCTATCYRAAATGATAGAAACAGGTACTCCATGCCGCGATACAATCCCATTGATATACAACTACGCTAATCTTTCTGTACTGAAATCTTCTCGAAAAGGCAGAAAGTGTGCGGATTTCGTAAGTCGATCCACTATGCCCCAAACTGAGTCATATCCCTTGTTCTTGGTAACTTTGTAACGAAATCCATTGATATCTGATCCCATTTCCATTGGGGAATCTCAAGTTGCTGGAGTAGACCAGACGGTTTTTGGTGTTTTTTCTTGACCACTGCACAGGTTAGACACTTACTCACATATAAGGCAATGTCTCTCTTCATGTCAGGCCAAAAATAATGATTCCTAAGACCCATATACATCTTATCTGCTCCCTGGTGGATTGGGTATCTTGATCTATGGGTTTCATCCAAAATTATTGATCGAAGATTACCAACCTTAGGTATCCAAACCTTATTTCCCCAAATAATGCACTCCATCTTGTGGGATTCGAATAATCTTTTCTGAACAACCTATCTCAACTCGATATTTGGATAGCTAATCCATACCTACAACTACGTCAAAGCTTCCTGCTTTGGTTGAAATAAGATTGATGCTAAAGTCCTTTTTTGGTTAAACTTAAAGTGCAGTTCTTAATTACGTCCCCAAACTTTATTTCTTGGCCCTTGGCAAATTCGATAGTGTAAGCATCGTTTAACTTCCTCGATTTCATATTTATCAACGGCCTAAATTCTAGGGAAASAAAACTTCTATCTGCTCCAGAGTCAAATATTACTGAGGCATAGATGTTGTTTAAAAGAAACATACCTTCCACAACATTAGGGTCTTAACGTGCCTCTTCGGCTCCTATTGCAAATGCCCTTCCCCGAGCCTGGCCTCCTTGATTTCCCTGACTGGTTTGCCTTTCCTGGTTCCCGGCATTGTTGATGCTCGATCCTCTAATCATCCTTGGGCACTTATTCCTGAAGTGATCCTGACTTCCACACTCATAGCATGCCCTTATTCYATCCTTGATTTCCTTTTCCTCTCTACTGAACTTGGCAATATGACCCAACCGATTACATTTGCCACATGTGGGACAGGCCCCTACATGGTAATAATTACATTTGCTGTATTTCAGAAGTGGCCGACTATACAGCTTTAGTTCCTGAGCCTTTACTCCAAAATTCTTCACCACTCTTTGGTTCTTGCCTAAATTGTTGTTGGTCCTTTTCCACGATTGCTCCTCTAGTTTCTTCTTTCCACCAAATTTGTTTTGCTTTAAAATCCCTGATCTAACTGCATCATTTGTCAGACGGTTTGCCAAAACCACCGCGTTTTGTATAGTGGTTGGGTTTGCCGACGTGACCATCCCTCGGATTTCAGGTGCCAATCCCCAAATATACCGATCAATTCGTTTCTCCTCTGGAGTGACCATATGAGGTACTAACTTKGCAAGCTCATGAAAACGAGCTGTGTATTTGTCTATCTCTATTCCAATCATGGTGTGATTCCAGAATTCGACTTCCAATTTCTGAATTTCTCTCTTAGAACAATACTCTTCGATAAGCAACTTTTTGAGTTCTTCCCATGTTAATTCATAGGCAGCTTGGCGACCACGGGTTTGAACTTGTATGTTCCACCAAGTTAGGGCTCTTCCCTGAAGTTGGCATGTTGCATACTCCACCTTACAGTCTTCGGAACACTTGCTAATATGGAGTACCGACTCCATGCTCTCAATCCATGATAATAATCCAATT